TTGCTATGAAAATATTATGATATAATTAGATAATATTTTATGTTAGTATTTTATTAATGGTTGATAATTAGAAAATAAAACAAGGATAAATACATTTTTTTGAATTTTATATGTTTGATTTAAGATAACTTACAAAATAACTCTTGGTAAAGTTATTCCGCTCAATAACTCATGGTGTGTGTTGAATTTCATCGATCCAATTAATTGTTAAATTAAAAATTAAATTTTACAAATAATTAATATAAATTTATTAATGGTTGATAATTAGAAAATAAAACAAGGATAAATACATTTTTTTGAATTTTATATGTTTGATTTAAGGTAAATAAATATATTAAATTAATTAATAATTTATTTAAAATATTAAAATTTAATTTATAAGTATGTAATAAATAAATATTTATAATTTTATAAATTATATTATCATTATAAATTATAAAATTAAATAATTTAAATTATAATTTTAAATAAAAATAAGTAGATGTTAATTATAAAAGTAAGTACATATAAATAAAGAATAATTGAATATATTATTATTATTATTATAAAATTATTATAGTACAAGTATGAGATTGTATATTTGAGGATGACTTAAATGAATTAATTTGTATAAGTTATACTGACAACATATATATACATTTCGGTAGCTTACTCATCAGAACTTCACAGTTAAGCGTGGTTGACCTGGAGTAATATAGGGATGGGTAACCTTCTAGGAAATTTCCTAGAAATTGTGCAAGTAAGGATAAAACACGCTAAAAAGTAAAATGTCGTGAAGTAAAACTCTTGAGAGGCCAAATATGAGGACTATTACATTAATAAATTTATTAAAATTAAAAAATATATAAATTCTGACGGAATTTTTCGTCGGAAATTTTCGACGAATTTTTTTTTCCAACGCCACTTTTTTTTTTTATGGATTTAAATCCGTTGGAAATCCGTCGAAAATTTACTCTTTTCCGTCAGAAATTTTCGTCAAAAATTAGCATTTTTCTTGTAATGTATGGTGTATGATGATTATTCTATGTATGTTGATTGGATATAGCATATATAGATGATTGTATGGTGTTAGATAATGCTGAGCATATACATGTCGTACATCTATATGGGGTTGTTGATCTCTATATGCATTGACTGAATGTGATGTATATAGTTGATGTATGCATAAGGTGTGGATGTTGAGAATGCAGTATGGCATTAAGGCATGATTGACTAACTTTGGACTTGAGAAAGGAAATTATTTTGAAAACTAAAAATCCCCCATAGGAAATCTTGGAGTGGTGCTCGAGTAGGCCACTATTTTGAAAACCCTCCATGAGAAGGTGTGTCTCTTGAAGTAGGTTTTGAGGTATGTTGAGTCTCCTTTAGGTCTTTAGTTAATGGTTGAGTAAGGTAGGAGGTCGAGGGCTACAACCCTTAACCAAGTACCTGAAAAGGTTACATGGCTCCTTGAAGATAGCCAGTGGGCTAACTCCACACGTGACTTGATAATTCATGTCAAGGTCGTGATACACTTATACTCAGTTATACCACTACTAACGGTGGAACCAAATTAACTTCCCTAATATAAGTAGTGAAATCCGAGAAATCATGATATTGAGAATGGCAAGCCAATTCGGTTGATGGGTCTATCTATGCTAGAGATGATCGTGTTGATGGGTCTATCTAGTCTAGAGATAATCGGGTTGATTCAGTAGAATCGAACCATTTAGATTACTCAGTTGTTAGGAGATTTCTATGGGTAAATGCATGAAGCATTTGCATATGATGTATATTGTGGTATATTCATATGCATTGTTAGATGTCTTGTCTGACATGATTTGGATAAGATATATGTTTGCATTGGAATGTTTAGTTTTCATATATGTTTATGGTATGATGTTGATATAGAATTATTTTCTATATTTACATGTTTTTGAACTCTAACTTACCATTTTGTTTCCATTGTGATTTGGACTGTGATGATCATACGTTAAATGAAAACAGATCAAGGCTAGGCTGGAGGAGCAGTTGCTACTTGGGTTGGCGATGCCTTTTTGGTTAGTATCGATGCTATTGTGATAGTTTGTATAATCGTACGCGACCAACACTAAGACAAAAGACTATTTTGGAATTATTATATACATGTATATAACTTATTTATATTATAACTAAAATGTTTTATTTTTATACTCGGATTCTATATGTGTATTACATATTTCCTCCTACAATTATATATGTTCTAGTAATTGTAATATAATGGCCACGGTGGATTGTTAAAAAATAAAAGTAAAAAATAGAAGGTAGATAGAGAGTGATTGAAATTGTCAAATTAACCTCTAGTAAAATCCTCGAAAGCATGGGCCTGTATATTGTATGGACATATGTGGCTGATTCTTCCAATAAAAAACAACAATTTAAGACTCGTTGGGCTAAGAAAGAAAAACAACACAGGCCAAAAAAATAAAAAGCAATCATGTCCGTGAATTAAATTGTGAACGCATGAAACTGAATTAAACGCATAAATCCACAAACCCCAAATCATAATTAAAATTATTAATATTAAATTCAAGGATATATCCTTTGTCTTCTATCATCCTTATTTTTTTCTCATTAATCCTTTCCCAAGGTGATTATGGCTCTCAAACAAGAGAGCATTATTACCTAATTTCCTATTCAATGACGTGAAAATTGAGAGAAGCCACGCGAGATAGTAACACAGTTCTTAATTAATTGCATAATATACTACTGTTGTATAAATTTGTGGCAGCAACCATGCCCATGCAGAAGGAAGCAGCAGTCACAATTTTGCATGGTTGTTTGTATAGGCTCAACTCATGAACTAAACATTCAAACAACGTCATCTATATTGATATATAAAAAGAATACTTCCACCCATAATTATTTTTCGTCTTGGATAATTATATCAATTTTTATGAAAAATAAATATTTTTAGCAACAATTCTAAATAATCATTTATATTATTATATCTTTTGTTTTATTTTTAAGAATATTTAGAGGCACGAAGTATAATATATTTTATATATATTTCTAGAATGCAAAAATATTTTTCGTTGAATACTTAAATATTTTTAACTGCAAATGTGTTTTTTTTAGTTTTTTACTATTACAAAGAGCTATTTTATGATTTGACGTAATTATTTATAGTAAAAAATGTTTATTAATTCCATAATTAATATTTTTAAATATAAATTAATAACTATTACAATGAAAACTCCATAGTTCAAATCTATCAGTGTATACTACTTTGGCTTGACCTCCACTGTTAGGCTGTTCCAGTAGTTATTTATATCAAAAAATTAAATCTTTGATTTCGTGTATTCCGCCAATAAAACAGAGTTAAACACATATACTTTTAACATAGACATGACACAATTAAGAGATATAATTAGTTGCTATAGTATAAAAAAAAAAAAACTTTACACGTACAGTATATAAGTGATTAACTCATAAAAATAAGTGTATTATTGCTAATACATACACTTCTTTATAACTAATTAGCTACTTTATTTCTATCTCATTTTCTTCCTTTTTGAAAAATTCATGTGTTTTGTTTTACTTCGAATTCTTTCGTGTATATATATATATATATATATAATAGTTACAATTAATACAATTATGTAATATCGGAAACTGGAATAAAAGATTAAAAATTGATAAGGAATAAAAGTATTTTAAATTCATTATATATTCTACAGTACTAGAATCAGCAATAGAATGATCAAACTTATTTGTTGGTGATGTTAAATATTGTTCCAGGAAAAGAAATGAAAATATTATTAAGAGTCACATTAACAATTAGTCTGAAAGCGATTATTTAATATTGAAGTGTAACTCGTATTCTTCTTATAAAAAGGGAAGGTGCATGTATATTCTTAAATAAGAATGGAGAGAAGTGCATGTATTTTAATCATCGCTCAGAGGGAAAAGTTTGCGCTTCAAATAAAAGTAAAATATTTATAGTTTTTCCTCAAATGAAATGAGATAACGAAAATGAATTTATATTATTATTTTCACATTTTTATATTTTAGGGAAACGGATTAATCAGATTTGTTCCCATAAGCCCTTAATTGGTTGTTAGAACAATAGTAAAGCATTTAGAACAAGATAGGAATGGATCCTGAATTACATATACTTAGGAAAATGATGCTTGTGCACTCTAATATACACTAAAAGATTATTCGCATGAGGTAAAATGTCCATTTCAAAAGACAGTTCACACCGATTGCATTGTAAGTATTTTATTTATTAATTCCTGGTATCTAATAATCTGAAATTAATTAATAAAAATTAGTGGCTAAAGAAGCCATAATTTATGGAAGAGTTTCAATTATACAACCATATGAAATTAATTAATACGATGATCAGAGTGTAAAACTGTTTCGGGTCAATAGTTTGAGAGTCTACTCTCCTTTTGCTTTGTCGGTTACCGTAAAGTTTGTTGGGATAGTTCTTTTCTAAAAGTATTTCTAAAAGAAAAAATAAAATAAAAATTGAGATCAAACTCCTCAATAAATTATAATGAGTTCAACATTAAGCAGTAGGGGTTGATCCACGTTTAAGCAAGGTCAGGGGTTCGAATCCTATATTATGTATACAGTCGCGTTAAATCTTGGAACTAGCTATTCTATTCTCGAAGATGCCTCCAACCTAACGAGGAGATTAGTTACCGACCCTATATTCTACAGGGACAAAAAAAGAAATTATAATCAGTTTATATACAACAGAATTAAAAAAAAATTAATTTATATATTATTTAATTTCTCTCCTAATAAGATTAAAATATTATTATAAAAATATATTGAAACATCCCGAAAATATATATTGTGTGACGGTCGGCCATTGTTATTAAAAGGATGGTGGCCCACAGAAGAAAGCACCAAAGTTGTGTGGCTATAAAGAAAAAGAAGCATGATAATGCTTTAATTGAATATTGTTTTATTCTGAGAATTATCATGTTGGTGACTTATAAAGTAAGGTTTTTGAATTGACTTGAAATAGGACTATGCTTTTGATTCATAATATAAGCTCACATCCCACCCACAGTTATATTTCAACCAAACGCATTTTGGGTTTCTCACCGTTTGTGGAAAGCTAGCTCGAGATTATGAAGATAAACTCGTCGTGTCTCTCTTCAGCAGCTCTTAATCGATCTGTTCCATGATTTCTTGAGGTAAACCTCAATCCTTTTCTCTCTCTCTCTCGTGTTAATTCCATTATTTGCTTAGCTCTCCTTTTACTTTTTTCTTCACCATGAGTTTCTTCATCCGAATATGTCCTTTTTGCTAGATTTGGTAGAAATAACTCGTAGACATAGCATCTGTTGTTGTATGCATAAAAGTATAAAAGTTTATCATGAGTTATTAATAGATGAAATTAATGATAGTTTCCTCTATGAGTTTTATGGGGTAATCTTTGTACGAGTTATTAGTAGCTGAAATTAATGATAGTTTCCTCTATGAGTTTTATAGGATAATCTTTATCATATAAACACGGATTTTAAGGTAGAATATTGATATTAAAAGAAGGGTATAAGTGAATCAGACTTATATTTTCATACGTTTGAAAATCTCATATTATTCGTTTAATAATTAAGGTCAATAATAATTTATAAAATTTTCTTTCTTTTAACTCATCTAGACTCGGACACAATAATTTCTCCTTCTTTAATTTATTAAGATTCAGATACAATAATTTTAATGATTAGTAACATCAACTAACTTAACTATATGAAAAATATATATTTTATAGGTTAAAGTTTTTAAATCATCCCATCAAAATTTTATTGGAGACTCTTCATTCTGGCATCTTTTACCTCTCACCTCTTTTTATTTTCAAAATAAAAAATTTTCTTAGTATGGAATATTTACCGTGGCAATATTTTTTTCTTCTATTAAACTATTTTTGAGCACATTCCTTTTCTCTTCTATCTATCATCACATTTTAATTAATCTGCTATTTTTGTGGCCTAATTATGTATTTAATGCTTCGCTAATTCGTTGTGCTCTTTTCTTTCAATTTGATTCCTCTTTCTTCTATTTCCCATTTCTTCTATTCTATATAAGTTCTTGATAAGATAAAACTATAATCTCATAATTAAATCGCCGATTTTTCCGTATGCTCTTTTCTAGTAGTGTTTCTTCCGTACGTTCTCTTCCAATGTTCTATTTGAATTACTATTAATTTTAATTTGTAGCCGATAAATGACAATAAATACATGGACTTTCAGTAAACAAATTTTGTTAATATAATTTTATATTATTATTGTTAATTTAATAGGTAGACTATCCATCATCCTAAGTTTGATGTTTTCAATAAATTTTTATGATATTCTCTCATATTGTTAATACTTTCTATAAAAAATTTGTATTAAATTGTATCCAATATTCCTCTAATTTATTTAATCTTTCTATTTGTTTTCTATGTATATTTTTCATTCTTTCTTAATATTACCCATCATATAATTTCATAACTTAATTCTAATAGCTATTTATTTTGTTTTTGTATTGTTTGTTCTAATTGCTGAATTTCCTTAATATATTTTAGGTTCTTTTTATTTTATTTGATGATATATTTTCTCACAATCTTTGGTAAGCGAACCAAGTTTCGTTGTAATAATTTGGTATTGTCTTCTAGGATTTGTAATATCAATAATTTCTATTCTAATAATTTATATAAGAACATTGATATATTAGAAAGTTGATTTAACATGAAGTAAATTAGAGCACAACAATATAAAATTTAGAAGAAACACTTATTTGAGACAAAGATTGGATTCAAGTGTATTTGCTAACCCTCAGACCTTCATTAAATAAATATGATTCCAATTTTATTACTTCCACATTCATTCAATCATTCAACCGGATCCCTCAAAATTGAGTCTTAAGGTGATTAATCCTAAACATGATTCCTCTATACTTTAAGATTAACACCTTGCATTAAGCACGATAACTTGAACAAAAGTGGCTAACCAACTCAAGTCTATTCTTAGAACAACAAATGATTAGGTGCGTGATTTAGTTCGGATTTTTGAAAATATTTTCCAACAAAGTTCAAAAAACCAAAATCATAAGATGGGTGATCAAATCGAATTAAGCATTAAAAGAAGAATCAAACACAAGTAATGAAAGTGAAATGCATATAGATCCTAGAAGAAGAGAAGTTAGTAGTTACACCGAAACCAATCCTAAAATATCTAGCCACTCATGGTGAGGGCCATTACAAGCATAAAAAAAAGAAGAAATTACAAGGTGAAAGAAGAAGAAACGAAGTTGATCCTTGTTCCCAAGTGATCCATCCTTCGAATTCTCCTCCTTGGCTCTATTTTTCTATATGGAATATCTTTTTCTTTTCCTTCTTCCTTATTTGTTGTCTCCTCTGTCTTTCTCCTAATTCCCCTTTTGTATTGGCCTCCAAAATAGGGGAAAGTTGCAATTTTTTATCCCACAATTGTAGTTATGATTCACGACTTCAGATGTGGAAGGTCCTTCATAGTTAAGTAATCTTCATGGCCACAACTATGTCCCACAGTTATAGCTATGGAAGTTCCTTCATGGTGAAGTAAAGCTTCAACGCTACAGCTATAGAATCACAACCATGGTTGTGAGTCTCTAGAACTTTTTCTTTCTCTCCGGTATCCCATGTCTCGAGCTGTGAATCCACGGCTATGGCTGTGACTTTTTGAAATCTTTTCTTTCTTTCTAGTATCCCATGGCTGAAGTTGTGAATCCATGGCCATGGTTGTGACTCTCTGTTGATTCCTTTTTGCACTCTAGATTCTCATAGCTATAGTTGTGAACCACAACCATAGCTATTTATAATAAATAATATAGAAAAAAAATCTTTACAATACAATTGTCAACAAATTGTGATATTTTTGTAAAAAAGATTTTTATGTCTCGAGCAGACATTATTAACTTAATACCTGCTGGAGAAAAAATGATTTTAGGCTTATACTTCATAATAGCAGAAGATAGGTCTATTACAATAACAAAAGATTATTTGATAATATCTCATAATGCATAAATGTCACCAATCTTTGATGAATTAGCATGAGAGTTACAAGCTAAGCATGGTGATACCCCTATCAACGCTACTGAGTGTCCTTGTGAAATCATTGGTAGTTGTAAGATAAAAGAAGCAGAAATTTAGACTTAAAAAAAATTCTAAATCTTCAATCACTGAAGACAAAGATAACCATAATGACGTTGATAGTTATTATGAATTATATTTGATACAAATGGATATTGAATGTTATAATTGTGTAAAGATTAATAAAGTTATAATATTCAATACTATCCAGCAAATCATAGACAGGCTTAATAAAACCAGCTTTATAGGAGAAGATCCTACTAAATACTGGGAAAATGATCTTGTTGTGTGCAAACTTGATATTATAAATTCATATTTGATTATAAAAACAAAAGATATTCCATATGAAATTTTTGAACAAAAGGAATGTAAAATACATATAAAAGCACTCTTAGAATTAAAGGTAATAAAACCTAACATTAGCCCACATAAGAGTCTAGCTTTTATAGTTAATAAACATTTAAAACAAAAATGAAGAAAAACCATAATGGTATATAATTACAAACGTCTAAATGACAACAATCATATAGACGGATACACTATATATATACCTTCTAAGGATGTTTTAATAAATAGAATTCAGAAAGCAAAATGGCTTTCTAAGTTTGACTTAAAATCAGGATTTCATCAAGTAAAGATGCATCTTGATTCAATAAAATGGACTGATTTTTCTTGTTCTAGAGGAATTTTTGAATGGAAAGTTATGCCTTTCGATTTAAAAAATGCTCCAAAAATTATCCAGAGAAAAATGGATAATATTTTTGGAGAATACAAATATTTTACTTGTACATATATAGATGATGCACTAGTATTTTCAAAAACAAAAGAATAACACTTCTTACATTTAAAACAAGTTCTTTATTTGTTTGAAAAGTATGGGCTTATAATTTCTAAGTCAAAAATGGAAATTTGTAAAACCCATATATCCTTTTTAGGAATTGAAATAGGGAATGGAAAAATTAAACTCTAACCCCATATTTCACAGAAAATTATAGTCTTTCCTGATAAAATGGAAGATATAAAGACCCTAAGAGCTTTCTTAGGACTTTTAAATTATGCAAGGAATTTTATAAAAGACTTGGGAAAATACATGACACCTTTGTATAATAAAACTAGCCTAACCGGACAAAGGAATTAATATAGAGGACATAAAATTGGTTAAACAAATAAAAGAAATGGTAAAACATTTGCCTTATTTATCATTACCGTTAGATACAGACTATTTAGTTATAGAATACAATAGATGTGAATTAGGATGGGGTGCCATCTTAAAGAAAAAGAAGAATAATATGAAAATATTTCTAAAGAACAAATTTGTAGATATGCTTCAGGAAAATACCATACAAAATCTCAAGTTTATTCTACTTTAATAGATTATGAGATAAACGCTGTTATAAATGATTTAAAAACTTTTGGAACTATTTTTGATAAATAAAAGTGAAATTATAATAAGAACTGATTGTGAAGAAATAGTTGCTTATGTTAATTCTCAAATAAATTCAAACAAAAAACCCCATAAAAAGTGGTTGTTATTTCAAGAACATGTTTAAAAGATGAAATTCGGTAATCAAGAATTACCAATTTTAACAAATGAGTTTCACTACCCTAGTAAAGGAACTACAAATGATAAATTCAATTGTATAATTGATAATATTTGGAATATCCCCAAATGTTCATAAAATAATGAACAAAATGTCTATTCAATAAAAAGAGGGATTATTTGTGCCCTATACAATTTTCACATAGCAGATAATCAAGGAGTTCCACTCTTGACAAAATCCTTACCTTTGGGTAAAGGTTATACATATTTTGTCCTGCTATTTGGACCATACAAAGGAATATACACAAATTTCATTGACTTGTACACTGCCAAGGTAGGATTACAAAATCCCAAATACAAAGGTTTTGTTTCTAAGGAAGAAGTTGAAAAAGCTCTCGAGCTAGACACTATTGACACTACAAAAATAAAAAAAGGCCTTTAATCAAAAGCCCGAAATAATTGTTATCAGAACTAGCCCAAGAAAAACCCAACCCCAAAGTTTCCAAGAGGCCGTGAGACAAAATCCATCTTCACCAAATGAA